GCACATAACAACAACAACATGGCCTTCATCAGGCACACCTTAGTCTCCAGACTGATATCATTACTCTTCAGTACTTTGGAGAGGTCTCTGACAGTGGACTTTCCCAATGCAATTAATCTTTTCATTTCCTGGCTGCCTGTACCAAGAGTGTTGATTGTGGAGCCAAGCAAACTGAAGTTGTTAATAATCTCAACCTCTTCACCATCTATCATGATACTGCCAGGAGTGAGAATCTTTGTTTTCTTGATGTTGAGCTTCCATCCTTATTGAAGGCTGCAGCTCTTGACCTTTTGCAGAAAGTGCTTCAGATCCTCCTTAGTTTCAACAAACAGGGTTGTGTCGTCTGCAAAATGCAGATTATAATCCAAAGCAAAATATTATAATGATATGTGCAAAGACCTCGTGTTAGAAAATCAAAAGAAAAATCATATTAATTTCTCAAGCTGAAAGAACTGAAGAAAAACTTCAAGCCTCAAGTTGCAAAGTGAAATGTTTTATGAGTAAAATACTAAATATCTCAGGAAGCATTAAAAAAAGATGGGAGGAATGCACAGTCACTGTACTGAAAAGAACTAGTCGATGCTCAACCATTGTAGGGGGTATTGTAGGGTCAAGAACAAATGATGTTGAATGAAGAAACCCAAGTTGCAATGAAGGCATTGGCAAAAATAAGACTCCAGGAACTCGTGAAATAAAAATTGAGATATTTCAACAAACAGATGCAGTGTTGCATATACTCACTTGTCTAGCCCTAAATATTTGGAGGGCAATAGACTAGAGGATATCTGGATTTGTACCATTACAAAAATAAAAAACAAAAAAAATCCAGCTGAATGTAGACTTTATAGAAAAATATCATTAATATCACACAGGTGCAAAAATCTTGCTTAAGAATATTAAAAACAACATTCAGATGGCTAACAAGCACATGAAGAAATATTCAAAATCCCTAGCTCTAAGAGAGATGCAAATTAAAACAACTATGAGATATCATCTCACTCCAGTCAGAATAGCAAAATTTAACAGAACAACAAGCAACAATTGCTGGTGAGGTTGTGGAGAAACTGGAACCCTTATTCATTGTTGGTGGGAGTGTAAAATGGGGCAACCCCTGTGGAAAGCGGTATGGCGCTTTCTCAAAAAGTTGCAAATAGAGATACCATTTGACCCAGCAATTCCACTACTGGGAATATACCC